GCAGGAATGGGTCTGGGGGAGACAGTTAGAAATTCTCCTAGATTCTCATAGGAGAATCCAGTCGTAGTAAGTGAAAGTGTCCTAGAGACTCCAGCGTGTAAACGCACAGGCGAGACTTAGACTTCATCCTGCCCTCTGTCGGCTCGGGTGCTGGGGCTCCTGCCAGCACTGCCTCGTTGGTGTGGAACTGGCTCTGCTGCCCTTGAGCTCTTCCTCTCCACCCCAGGGAAGGACTGAGCAGTGGAACTTGATCACTGTGGGGGCCATCCCTTCAGAAGACAGACACACTTGTTAGAAAGAGCCCAGGCTGCACGGCGCCGCTGCATACCCTTGATACACCTTTATGGATGTGTGGTTTTATTTACCTAATGACTAATATTTTTCATGAAATTTGGGATTTTTTAAATTTACGTGAATGAAAAAAATCCTTTTTCTCACAGGATTATCTCCTTAATTCCAACGTTAGCCTTTGGTCCTTGGCCCTTTGTTGCTCTTGTAAAGCTCTAAGGGCAAAGGACTATCCATGAAAGTAGAGAATTCAGGTATTTATCAGCATGTTGATTCAGTGTTTTTCATGTAATTTTTCTCCTCCTTGTTTTCCATCTCCCCTTTTCAGGTTTAGTTACTGTATTTTTTTTCTTTTTTGGCTGCACTGCACAGCTTGTGGGATCTTAGTTCCCCAAACAGGGATTGAACCCAGGCCCTCGGCAGTGAGAGTGTGGAGTCCTAACCACTGGACCGCCGGGGAATTCCCTAGCTACTGTATTAAATTCATTACTGGCCTTACCCTCTCTCTATCTCATAGAGAAGTTTATAAATTATTTTATCTTGTAAAATGTTATGTAGGATGTTATATAGCTCAAAATGTAATGATCTAGATTTATTTTTCTCACAAGCAACAACATTGCTCCTATATTTTATCATCTCATAATGTCAGAAATTAAATAATATTTACTATTTACAGTTTTATGTTTTGATCATAAATATTTGTAGAAAACTCCAAAACGAAACCATCTGAGTAGGAGGATGGCATATTTTGGAATTGTTTTACATTATTTATTGAAAACTCATTGGGTTTTGTGGTTTTTTTATATGCAAACAATGTGGTTCTTTGATAGTTCATTTTAAATGAAATAGATCAGTGTGATTATAAAAATGCTTTACATGTGAAAAGATACTCAACATCACTAATCGCTAAGGAGAAGCAAATCAAAACCACAGGTAGATACCACTTCACACCCATTAGGCTGGCTGTTATTCAAAAATCAGAGTATAACAAGTGTTGGCAAGGATGTGGAGAAATTGGAACCCTGGTGTATTGCTGGTATAGTGTTTCATCTTGGGATTAGGGATAGTGGTGACGGTTTCACAAAATGAATGTACTTAACACTGCTGAATTATATACTCAAAAATGGTTAAAATGGAAAATTAAATTTTGTATATTTTACCAGAAAAAAAATCTTCTCTCCAATATTGTAGTTGAGATTGACAGTGTCAAATATGTTGCTAGGTATTTTTTTGTGTGATTCTTATGTAGTATATATAAACTCTAGATTATAAATTTTAGAGCTGAGAACCTTAGGGCTTATGTAGTTAGTTCATCGTCATCTTTGTAGAGTTGAGAAATGACTTAAGATTGTTCAGCTAGTTGGTGGCTTTAGCTAAAACTCATATTTGGTTCTATACATTGATTCTTTTGTTTGTCCAACAAATGTTTATTGGTTGCCTAATATGTGGCAAGCATTATGGATATAAAACCTTGCTAGGCCAGGCTGGTAACCTCCTACTCCTGGGTGCAGGTTGCAGTGAGTGCTCTCCTAGTCAAGAGGTAGGTGGCCTGTCTTTGGGTAAACCTTGTCCCTGCAGAGGCAAGACCGAGGGAGAGTGAACTGTGGTAGGTTTGCTGACAAAAAATGATAATCTTTGGTTTTTGTGTTTGTTTGTTTGTTTGTTTTTAATTGGGGTATAGTTGCTTTACAATGTTGTGTTAGTTTCTACTGTAGAGCGAAGTGGAGTTCCCGGTGCTATACAGCAGGTTCTCATTAGTTATCTGTTTTATACATATTAGTGTATATATGTCAGTCCCACTCTCCCAATGCACCCCACCCGCCCTTTCCCCACTTGATGTCCATACGTTTGTTCTCTACGTCTGTGTCTGTATTTCTGCCTTGCAAACTGGTTCATCTGTACCATTTTTCTAGATTCCACATATATGCATTAATATATGATATTTGTTTTTCTCTTTCTGACTTACTTCACTCTATATGACAGTCTCTAGGTCCATCCACGTCTCTACAAGTGACCCAATTTTATTCCTTTTTATGGCCGAGTAATATTCCATTGTATATATGTACCACACCTTTATCCATTCATCTGTCGATGGGCATTTAGGGATAATCTCTGTTTTTTAACTTGGTCTTATTTTCAGTGTTAAATGATGAGTGGCTCATTGATCTGTTTATTTTGAGGGCCACCGGGGAAGCCCTCGTTGATCTCTTTAAATTGGTTATTATATAAGCTAGTTTTTATAGTATAGGCAAAACCGACAGAGGAAATTGTCATAAACCAGGGTAGCAGAGCCAACCCCTAATATCAATATTTGGCAATAAAGAACTTCGTTGTTTTATGGTAATTTAGATACTTAAAGTTTTCTGTTGCCTATCTTCATTTTCCCTTTGTAGTTTTCAACTGGAATTACCTGCCTACTTTTTTTTTTTTTTTTAATATTTACTTCTTTGTTTTCTTAAGAACAAAAGCCTCTTATTTCCCAGGTTGTGCAGTGGTTAAGAATCTGCCTACCAATGCAGGGGACACAGGTTCGAGCCCTGGTCTGGGAAGATCCCACATGCCTCGGAGTAACTAAGCCCGTGCGCCACAACTACTGAAGCCCACGCGCCTAGAGCCCATGCTCTGCAGCAAGAGAAGCGACTGCAGTGAGAAGCCCACACTCACCGCAACTAGAGAAAGCCTGTGCACAGCATCGAAGACCCAATGCTGCCAAACATTTTTTAAAAAGAAGAATAAAAACCTCTTACAGGGCTTCCCTGGTGGCGCAGTGGTTGAGAGTTCGCCTGCCGATGCAGGGGATGCGGGTTCGTGCCCCGGTCTGGGAGGATCCCACCTGCCGTGGAGCGGCTGGGCCCGTGAGCCATGGCCGCTGGGCCTGCGCGTCCGGAGCCTGTGCTCCGCAACGGGAGAGGCCACGGCAGTGAGAGGCCCCCGGACTGAAAAAGAAAAAAAAAAAAACCCCTTTCAGGCGACACAGTTGATTTTTTTTTTTTTTTTTTTTTTTTTTGACCATGCCATGCAGCATATGGGATCTTAGTTCCCCTACCAGGGATTGAACCCGTGCCCCCGGCACTGGGAACATGGAACCTTAACCACTGGACTGCCAGGGAAGTCCCTACCTGCCTACTTTAGAATCACCTAGACCATCATTCTAAATTCATTACATTCCTTTTAGTCGAGGCCAGTTAGCTCAGTTGGTTAGAGCCTGGAGCTGATAAATTCATTACATTCCTTTTAAATCGGGCAACAAAAGTCATTTGTTTGGGGTTTTTTTTTTTTTAAGGTTGAAGTTAGTTTTAGTATGTTCTTTCTAGTGATGGTGATAATTCTTTGAATACTTCCTCTTTTCTTTTAGCTCCATCAAACTATAAAAGAGATTGCGGGGTGGGGGGGGACCCAGTTTTACTGTCCATGAGTAAGATATTTCTTGTTGAAATTAATTTGCAGAGAACATAGTAATGAAAGTGTTCTAAAAGAGAAGAAATATTTAATTGCAATTATCTGTATATCATACTGTTTAAAGAAACTCTGTCAACGATTTCTAAGCTGTGTGAGGTCTTGAGTGATGCGTACTTCAAATAAAGTCTGTTGGAAAATTCGTTGGAGTATAAGTTTGATTGCAATGTTAGAAATACTCAAAAAATTAGGAAATTAAAGGAGGTAAAATACAGATACCAAATACTAGCTTCTTTAAAAGGATCATAAGAGTGAAAAGATATAAATACTATAGAAGATATCGTATAAAGTTATTCTGGGGATCTCCAAAGAAAAGACTAAATTAAGGAAGTAGAAAGCAAATGTAGAAGGAATCCATAGAGATCCGAGAAGATACCGGGCTGGGATACAGGGCTGGGAATATTTTTTATTAATGCACAGGAAACCAGGATAAACCATAATCACTGGTAATAACAGATAAAGTAGTATAAATGTAATCAAATCGTTCTAACTCTTGTACCCTTGATAACATGAGAGATCATTTTCTAAAACCACTTCTCTCTCTCTCTCTCCCTCCATCCCCCACCCCCAAAATATTGGTTCTGTTATATGATTCTGCAGGACATTTACAATTCTTTTCTACCAAATGAGCTGTGTAACTTCTGTCTAACACTGGGACTCATTAGAAGTCTTGAAAAGAACTGCAAATTGCACTCAGCATCCATGTGAGCTTCAGTGTTGTAGCCAGCGTTTCCCAGAAGCTGAGTATTCACAGGTGTTGCATAGTCACATAGATTCCAAACTGCTTCCAGTTAAGCCACTTTCTTTACTACAAATGCTTTCAAAGATGCTCCTGTGCTAATGTGCATTGTGAATCTTCTCAATAGTATGGTGTAGTGGTAAGAATTAAAGTAATTTTAGAAAGAGTAACTCTTTTTTGAATGGGAGCTACTTAGAAGACAAATAACTTTTTTCTTGAAGTCATTTTTTAGTATTTGTCATTCAGAATTGAAAACTCAAAGTAAAGAGCTTCCCCCAAAGACTAGTTTTAACAGTTGATTCACTGATAAGTGGGAGGAAAATCTAACTTTGAACTTGTTTCATCTTTTTCAGAAATCAGCCACAGCGGGCTGGCAGAACATTATGAAAGTTCCCACTGGGGACAGCAGCCCACTTACAGGAGTGAAGCCAACGGCAGCTGGGATAAAGTGATAATAGACAGGACTGATAAGGAGGCGTGGCCTTCCATCTCGGGAACAGAGGCTGAGTCTGCCTCAGAATGTACGACAGATACTGACTGTACCTCCAGCTGTGGCTCAGAGAACAGTAGCATGGCTACAGGGAGTGCCCAGGGCAGCTTCACTGGACATACCAAGAAGACGAACGGCAATAATGGCACCAACGGCGCACTCGTCCAAAGTCCTTCTAATCAGAGTGCCCTTGGGGCGGGGGGAGCAAACGGTAATGGAAATGCAGCCAGAGTGTGGGGCGTAGCTACGGGCTCCAGCTCTGGCCTGGCTCACTGCTCCCTCAGTGGTGGGGATGGAAAGATGGACAACATGATTGGAGATGGGAGAAGTCAGAATTGCTGGGGTGCTTCCAACTCCAATGCTGGCATTAATCTTAACCTTAATCCCAGCGCCAACCCAGCTGCCTGGCCTGTACTTGGGCATGAAGGAACTGTGGCGACAGGCAACCCTTCCAGTATTTGCAGTCCAGTCAGTGCCATAGGTCAAAACATGGGCAACCAGAATGGGAACCCAGCGGGCACTTTAGGTGCTTGGGGAAACTTGCTGCCGCAAGAGAGCACAGAACCACAAACGTCCACTTCTCAGAATGTGTCTTTCAGCGTACAACCTCAGAACCTTAACACTGATGGACCAAATAACACTAACCCCCTGAACTCTTCACCAAACCCTATCAATGCAGTGCAGACAAACGGACTGCCAAACTGGGGAATGGCTGTTGGTATGGGGGCCATCATCCCGCCCCACCTGCAAGGCCTTCCTGGTGCTAACGGATCATCAGTTTCTCAAGTCAGTGGGGGTGGCAGCGAAGGAATCAGCAGTTCTGTGTGGGGCCTGTCCCCAGGCAACCCTGCCACAGGAAATAGCAACTCTGGGTTCAATCAGGGGAATGGCGACACTGTGAACTCAGCATCAAGTGCTAAGCAGAATGGCTCCAGCAGTGCTGTGCGCAAGGAGGGAAACGGAGGGAACGCGTGGGATTCGGGACCTCCTGCCGGTCCTGGCATCCTCGCCTGGGGGCGGGGCAGTGGCAACCATGGCGTCGGTAACCTCCATTCGGGAGCTTGGGGCCACCCCAGCCGAAGCCCCTCCAACGGGGTGAACGGGGACTGGGGAAAGCCCCCAAACCAGCATTCCAGTAGCGACATCAATGGGAAAGGATCGACAGGGTGGGAGAGTCCTAGTGTCGGCAGCCAGAATCCTGCCACGCAGCCTGGCAGCGAACACACGAACTCTTGGGCCAAAGCTGCATCTTCTGGAACAACAGCAAGTGAAGGAAGCAGCGACGGTTCTGGCAGCCACAACGAAGGAAGCGCTGGGAGGGAAGGAACAGAAGGCCGAAAGCGAGACAAAGGGATTCTAGACCAAGGGCACATCCAATTGCCAAGGAACGATCTTGACCCAAGAGTTCTGTCTAATACTGGTTGGGGACAGACTCCAGTAAAGCAAAACACTGCCTGGGAATTTGAAGAATCCCCAAGGTCTGAGAGAAAGAATGACAATGGGACAGAGGCCTGGGGTTGTGCAGCTACTCAGCCTTCAAACTCAGGGGGGAAGAACGATGGGTCCATCATGAACAGTACAAATACCTCTTCAGTATCGGGGTGGGTCAGCTCACCACCTGCTGCTGCGCCAGCAAACACAGGTTGGGGAGATAGCAGCAGCAAAGCGCCAAATGGCCCCGGGGTTTGGGGGGACACGATAAGCTCTACTGCTGTTAATAATGCTGCTGCGGCCAAGAGTGGCCACGCTTGGAGTGGGACCGTAAATCAGGAGGACAAGTCACCCACCTGGGGTGAGCCTCAAAAACCCAGATCTCAGAACTGGGGAGATGGACACAAATCGAATCCAGCCTGGAGCGCAGGAGGGGGAGATTGGGCAGACTCGTCTTCTGTCCTTGGACACTTGGGGGATGGGAAAAAAAATAGCTCTGGATGGGATGCTGACAGTAATCGATCAGGGTCTGGTTGGAACGAGGCTCCAAGGTCTGGGACCAGTGGCTGGGGCAATGGCACAAATGCAAAGGTGAATCCAGGGACAAGCTGGGGAGAGTCTTTAAAGCCTGGCCCGCAACAGAACTGGGCGAGCAAACCCCAAGACAGCAGCGCGAGTAACTGGGGAGGAGCCACTTCCGTTAAACAGACAGGAACAGGGTGGATTGGGGGGCCGGTCCCTGTCAAACAGAAGGACAGCAGTGAGGCCACGGGCTGGGAGGAACCTTCCCCGCCATCTATTCGACGCAAAATGGAAATTGATGACGGTACCTCAGCTTGGGGCGACCCGAGCAACTACAACAATAAAACTGTAAACATGTGGGACAGAAACAACCCGGGCATCCAGAGCAGTGCCTCGGTCAGCACCACCACCAGCACCAGCACCACCACCGCGAGCACCAACACAAACGTGGCCGAGGTGCCCCCGACGCACCAGGCCAGCGCCCAGCTGAACCGATCGCCACTGCTCGGTCCAGGTACGTGGGGGGCTGTGTGTTCCTTTAGAGGCAAAGAAAAAATGTTTATTCTCATTACATTTGCACACATACTCGACTAGTGTTTTTGTAGCAAATAACATTAAACTAATTTTAGTGCCCTTCACCTTACGATATCGTATTGAATGTTACCCAAAGAGAAGAAAGTTAAGTAGGATTCTCTGATAGCTTTTGATTCAAGAAAAAAAAACATTAAGCACCTTCAAAAGAAAGGAGAGGAAAGAAGAAATACGTCCTCTTAAGAAAGATTGAGGACCATTATGTTAGTTTGTGTTTACTTATTACAAAGTCTTTTTTGTTTTTTGGTTGTTTTTTTTTTTTTTTTGGACTCACTGCACACGGCATGCGGGATCTTAGTTCCCCGACCAGGGACCGAACCCATGCCCCCTGCAGTGGAAGCTCAGAGTGTTAACCATTGGACCGCCAAGGAAGTCCCAAGTCTTCACTTCCTTATGAGATAAACCACTGGTTCTCAACACCAGAGGGCTTTCGTTAGAATTACCCGGGAGCTTGGGGACTGAGGGATACCAATCTCAGAGATTGCTAGTGTCATTGGTCTGGAGGTTCAAACCCATTCTGGAGCTGGGACACAGTACAGCAATAATCTAGAGAAATACCCCATGCCTGCCTTTTGCTCAGAGATGGTAAGCTGCCCTTCCCAGTCCTTCTCAGACTCAGGGGGTCTCACTGGCGGCGTAGGGTGTGAAGTGGTGTCAGCTGGCTTGGAGCAGAGCCGCCTCCTCAGCTCTGCCCGGAGGCCTGGGGTAAGTCTGAGCCAGACCTGCAAGCGTAGCCCTTACTTATGTTTCTAAGGAAGTGAAAGCAGATCCTGAAATACAGCCCGATTATCTCATGCACTTAGAAATAAATATTCTGGGACACTTAAAAATCAATTTGCAGACACAGGAGAACATTGAATATTAATTAATAAAACATTTGATGAATAACTTATCTTCACAGTAAACTCTGAATCTAGCAATGAGACTAAGGGAGAATCTCCAGAGACGGTTTCTTTCACCCCTGAACTTTGTCAGGTTTCATTAAGACGTACAGATAATTTGAGAGGGATTGGGAGGTGGTGAGGTGAGGGGTTAGAGAGATAACTACCCAGTTAATTTAGAGTCAAATATGAAGGCCATTATAGGCTTGATCTGAGTGAAACCAGTGACATGGTGGGGTCATGATATCTTGCCTAGGGCTGTGTCCTCCCACGGTGGATGGAAGTGAAACATAGTGCCACATGTCAATCAGAAAACCAGAAGAATACTGCTAATGTCGCTCTTATTCCAGAACATTTTTTAATCCGTATTCTACCTACCTATCTATCTATTCTCCTCAGCTTCTCATAAATGTGTCTCATTACCCTTGGCCAGGCATTCAGCTGTGCCAGTGGTAATCCCTGTAGCTGTCTCATGAGGTTGGAGGAGGCCCCAGCCAGAAGCAGACTTGACTTTGCATTGGATTCTTATTCTAATGATATTATATTTGCTTTATCGTTTAGTTTTCTGGCACAAACATAACCAAAGGCAGAGATTGTGTGAGTTTATCATGGAAGAAGCATATCACCCATTCGATGAACTAAAACTTGGAAGAAATTGGATTTGGGAATCCTCTCCCTAGGTAGATAAAACACATGTGCTGTTTCTCTAAGTCTCCTTAGAGCAAAAGCTGGAGGACATTGTACTGCCTGCAAGCCGCCCTGTCCTAGAAGCTCAGTTGCTCTTTTATCATCCTTTGGTATAAAAATGATACTCAAAAGTAGAGTCACCTGCAGATGGAGTGAATCAGCAAGATGCTGTTAGAGCGTGACTATTTTCACACCATAACCTCAGAAATCGATCTCACCGACCCCTCCAGCCAGAGGAATTCTATTTTAAGCACCACACAGTAGTTACTGAAAGAGGAGTGAGCTGTGAGCAATCAGTGCTTTGTGTGGGTATGAGATTTTTCTTGGGTTTCAGTTGGGTTAGGCTGTTTATACTTTCCTGTGTGTTGAGGGACTTGGTAAGTCGGGCTGGACGTGAAGGAGGACCAGGGAATCGGAAGTCCTGCTCAAGAAGTAGGAGGAGACGCCTGTCAGTGCAGGTCCTGTGGATACACACGAAGCTTTTCATTTTAGGTACCTTCAGTTCAAAATGAATAGAAGAATGAGACAAAGATGCCATTTGCCCTCCTACACAGCATATCAATAAGAAAGAGTTAGCCCATTTAAAATCGGTGTTAATGCACTAAAATAAAAACATTTTTTTTCTGTTTCTGATACCTACCCTGTGTGATGACCCAGTAAGACAGGCAAAGGCAGCTCTTCCTAAGAGGCTGTTGTGCAGCTTGAGAGCACGTGGTCAGCTTTAAAAAGGACCCTTATCTGTAACCCTGAGATAGACTCCCCTGTTTTTGGAACAGAAGTGTCAAATAAATGCCCGAGAAACAGGGCGTTCTAAAAAGTATGGGATGCTTTGCATCTGACTGAGCAAACTCTTCCACATAAAGCTTCACTCTAAGTACCGATCTTGATTTCAAATGTGAAAAATTAATTGTTGCTGCAGTAAATATGAAAAATTGTTGCTGCTTTGCCCCTCCATAAGCCAGTAGCCATCCAAGCATTGTAATAAATTTACATTAGGCTTAAGTGCCATCATTATGAACAAACTCCCATCTCGTTAATACTTAAGTTAGTACCTAAAAATACCAAGCACATAGCAGGCGCTCAAATGCCTAATCAATTAAATTTTCAGTCCTTTATTTTTCCTTCACTTAATTGTAATTGGTCACTTTTTAACTGAACCTTTCTTCCCCAAAAGGAGTGCCTGTCACACTTGTAAAACTCTCTAAGTAGCCTCCATGGAACAAGCTAGCATTGATTTCTTACTTCACAGAAGAACGAATGAATGCCACCTCCCAACTTAACTGTCTGTAGTACTTAGGATGAGAATCTTTGAGTCAGGTGAAGATTCTCTTTCTCTAGGTTCTGTTTCTTGTCCTCTCATCTGCTCTGTGCTCATTTTCACGCCAGTCTTCTGGGCCTGCAGCACTTGGGTACCCTGGTTTTCTCCGTTCTGATAGAAAGATAAAGAATGTACAGTAAGTCCCCTACATACCAACCTTCAAGTTGCGAACTTTCAAAGATGTGACTGTGCGTTCACATGTCCAATCCTGTTAGTTCACGTTGAAACGGAACAGGACCCTAGCGTCCTTGCCCCCTCCCACCATGTCGTCAGCCTCTGCCTTTTGTCGGTGCAAAAACTTCAGCCGGAGAATAAGTTTAATCAGAGAAGTGAGGAAATGCAGAAACGAAGGAAAACACAGGAGACCAAATAATAACAGTTTAGTCAGTAAACATAGTCAAGGACCTTTAGTTCCTCCTCAATGGCTGTAGATGGTATTCTGAGCCGTATCCTGTGAGCTGTCTTATGGATACTGAAACCCGCACCAGGTGGCAGAAGTTACCTACATGATGAGCAGGCTGTAGCCATGACATAAGCTGCCACAATTCCAAGAATTGGCCTCAAGGAAATGGAAACGAACAGACCCTGGAACTGAAGATTAACTGTACCTAAAACAATCCAGATGACTCTGGTCAGACCACTGATGACCAATTTCAAGATGCCTGTCAGAGCTGACTGTATTGTGTCTACATGTAGCCCCCTCCCTCTGTCTATAAAAGCTCTTGCCCCCTGATTGTCGGGGGAGGGGGGAGTCGGCCTTTGGACAGGCATCCGCCCTCCCCACCCTCCCCGCTTGTTGCCAGCATCCAAAGTAAAGCAAACTTTGATTTGCACCAACCTGGCCTCTTTATTGGCTTTTGAGCGGTGAGCAGCCGGACCTGGGTTTGGTAACAACGTGTCTGGCGTATGTTGTCACGTGGGTGCGTCCTCTGCAAGTGGTTGTGCTTTTGTGTACTGTACTGTACTGTGCTGTATAGAGCACAGTAGTACAGTATCTTTATTTCAAGCCCAGGATGAGTGAGTGAAAGTGCAGCTTGCCCTCTGTCTCCTGTTGCTGACCATCCTTCAGCTTTACATCTCCCACCTCCTCTCCCTCCTCCAGTCAGTAAGGCTTCTTGCCTGTTCACTCGATGCCAGCCCCTTGTACTGTATGCCAGCTGTTGTACTGTACTACTGTACTTTTCGAGGCACTGTACTGTAAGATTAAAAATGTTTTCTTTTTCTGTTTGTTTTTTATGTATTATTTGTGTGAAAAGTAAACCTATTTTTTCTTTTTCTGTTTGTTTTTTATGTATTATTTGTGTGAAAAGTATTATAAACCTATTACAGTACAGTACTATTATAGCCGATTGTGTTAGTTGGGTACCTAGGCTAACTTTGTTGAACTTAACGAACAAATTGGACTTACAAGTGCACTCTCGGAACATAACTCGTTCGTATGTAGGGGACTTACTATATATTTAAAACGGACTGAAAACTACATATTCTGGTGGCATCTCATTGCTGTTGTTATTTTATTCCCAGCACTGTGTGTGTTCAGTTGAAGAAGGCAGATAATTGGGACTTCCCTGGTTAAGACTGCACTTCCACTGCAGGGGGCATGGGTTCGATCCCTGGTCAGGGAACTAAGATCCCGCAGGCGATGTGGCCAAAACAAAAGGGGGGGTTGGGGGTGTAATGACTCCTGTATCCCATGGACCATCTTTTAAAACTTTAATATCAATGTTTTAATATGCAAGATAGAAATTTGTTCAGCCTCATTAAGCCCAACTTTAAAAGAACTTTTATAAAATTATTAGCAACAGGGATACCAAATTCACTTGAGCAATAAACATTAAAAGTGGAGATCGTATTTATTTTAGTAGTATGTATTTAAAATTATTTCCTAGCTACCGAAAATATTTGCTTTGCATCGAAACGTTCTGGTGTGCCTGGGTTTTTAGCATCTCTTCCAGAGGCTCTCGGTTGTCAGGTGGTGCACTCATTCTGATGTGTATGTTAGTTTGGCCTTGTAGGTAAATTATTTTCTTGCCAGAGATCAGCTTAAACTAGAAATATTGTTTTCTTGATTTTCTGAGTGAGCAATTATTCTTCCATTTATTTCTAAGGTTTTATAGAACCTGCCGCTTGCAGATCATTTGCCTTCCATATAAAAATACTCTGTAGACATCCCTGCTGCTTTCTCAGGAATTAAAACCTCTTTATAATTACCAGGGTTTTAACACTTATTCTTAGTTTTGACTTAATTAAATAATTTATAGTACTGTATTTCAAAGAGATGGCAGTATAAGGGTGACAGATTTTAGGTGTTGTTATTTAATTACCAACAGTAAATCAGTATTTTTATAGCCGATTGGCCTTTAGCAACACCTGTATTATTTTATCTTCCCAAAATTTCCATAATTTTTGTCATCTGTGTTAATTTTCCTAATTTAATTTTGTCCCTTCGATTTGTAAAACTCCTCCCAAAATGCATTATTGTTTTATGTGTAATTATAGGTAATATTACAGTTAGCAATTGCCGGCAACAGCAATTAGGGCTAACTTCCCTGATATTGGTAATAGTTTACATAATATATTGCTCAGCATAGAGCTTGTAATTTTAAATGATTCATAGGTTGCAGGCACTTTTATTGTGAATCAATATTGTTGCATTTTATTAGAGTAAAGCATCATGGGAGCTGATCGTATGCTGTTTTTAGTCAGAAAATTAATGAATTTCATAATGGAGATGGTACTATCCATATTTTAACAAAATAACTTAAAATTTGTGGTTGGCTACTTGTATTTTATACTTTCCATTCTTCACTTAGTACTTAAAACATTCACAGTTCTCTCTCCGAGAAACTGTATCTGTATGAAAACTACAAGTGATATGAGCTGTCAGTGTGACTTATCAGTAGTGTCAAGTGAGTTTATGGGCAGAAGCAAAAAGATCAGAATTTGGGTTGATTCGGAAAAAATGAAGTTTGCATATATAACATAAAATGTTTTTCTTACTAAAGTATAAAGAAGGTGGGGAGATCCTTACTGTTGCCTGGTCTCGTGACCTCTTCTGTGCCTGTAGATAGTGATGCCATAACGCTCTGGATTCATTAGGGACCCTTATCTAGTTTCATTGCATCCCAGTCCCAGATCAGGATGCTACGGCAACAGGACTGGGTGGAGGAATGAAAGAAGAATTCTGAAAAATTCTTGTAAAAAATACTTGCAATCAATCAGTGTGTTTGTTGGAACCACCCTTATCCATAATTCCTGCACTCTGTTCCCATCTTTAAAGACGAATGCCTCAGCTCTTTCTCAGCCCACTGCTGGTACCTGAGAATTGTCTGGGTTCTCTATTATTACTTTATTTGTACATGTCTAATCTGCCATCTTCTCATTTCTTTGCCCAGATATATGTCTTTGATGGTTGGTCAAAAGATAAGCAAAAATAATTTTCAGTGTATATTTGCCACTTGTAAATTTTTTTATAAGAGATTAATGTAACATGAAATTTCTTTCAGGTTGTTATGTATAATACCGGAAGTAAAAGAGCTACTTCTTTTTTTTTTTTTTTTCCTTGCGTTATGCGGGCCTCTCACTGTTGTGGCCTCTCCCATTTGCGGAGCACAGGCTCCGGACGCGCAGGCTCAGCGGCCATGGCTCACGGGCCCAGCCGCTCCGCGGCATGTGGGATCTTCCCGAAACGGGGCACGAACCCGCGTCTCCTGCATCGGCAGGCGGACTCTCAAGCACTGCGCCACCAGGGAAGCCCTAAAAGAGCTACTTCTTAAACTTTAGTTTTTAAACTATTCTTTTAAACTCTATCATGTTGCAAATAGTGTGAATTGACTAGTTTTTAATATAATGGACTTTGAAGTGGGTAGGGGTCAGGAGTGAGAAAAATGCAACTTTAAAAAAAGCTGAACAAATCTGATTAGATTCAATATTGTCTCCTTTTCGCTTTCTACTAAAAGCCATCCTAAAGGTAGATTATCTCAAAATTATTTTGAACTTGAAATTACCATTTTTACTTTCTCCTCTGTTTCATTTTTATTGTTTTCTCTCTCCCCTGGTGCCCTTTTCAGTTTCCTCAGGCTGGGGAGAAATGCCTAATGTTCATTCAAAGGCTGAAAACTCTTGGGGAGAGCCATCCTCCCCTTCTACCCTGGTTGATAACGGCACAGCAGCATGGGGCAAGCCGCCCAGCAGCGGCAGCGGATGGGGGGACCAGCCCACCGAGCCGGCGGTGACGTTTGGAAGAGCCAGCGCCCCCGCTGCCACCCCAACCCTGTGCAAACCAGGTGAGCCGTGCTTCCTGCCCTGGGTTGGCCGGTTCGAGATGGACCCGGGTAGTCTGTTTAGAGGGATGCTTCTCGTTGAATTTTAAGAATTAGTGTTTTAGGACGCTTTCCTCATTTTTAAGTCTAACGTTAAACTAAAACTATAAAGAAATATTTGTCCTGTCTGATACAAGAGCACAAGGGAGCTTTTAACAGAAGTCCATGTTCTCCTTTTTACAAAAAAATAAATACAAGGATCAGAGCAATAAAGCATAGCTGCTTGATGGTTAGTAGCCTCCACGCTTCTTCAGCAGTGTTCTCCTACCTGCCATTCAGACTATTTAAACTTTGCTATTTCACTGAGCAAAGGTGGATAAGGCAGAGGCCATTTTTCTTTTTGCGATTAGGTTTTGAAACATACATTACTTAACAGCAGTCTGACACTTGCTTTGCTTTCAGGTAAACAAAATTCTGCTTTAGATTCTCCGGGTTTATGCTTCTTCTCTCTTTTTTTCTTTTCTTAAAGAGAAAAACCATGCTGTGTTTTCCTCCCATTATCTGAAAGTATAATAAGTATACATATAAAATGTACATCCTTACAAATGACCAGATCATGTTTACCAAGTGGAATCCTGTAATGTGTGGCTGTTTTGCAATGTGATACTTATGACAAGAGCATGAATATGTTTGCTGATTTAAGTCTGATATTAAAATTAATTGTTCACATGGCCGCAGAAGCTCAGGTTTTGTTTTTGTTTTTTTTTTGGACATCGTTAAATGTCTCAGATCTTAAAATGAAACTTTATTGTTTTAGTATTTTGTTACTTTGTTAACACTGGATAGTATGCTCTGTATACCAGCCATTCTGCTGGATTATTTATTTCATGTATATTACTTCCTGTTATACATCTAACGGATGGGGAGCTCCTGGGTATTTGGATTCAGGCACTGAGGTAGTATATTTGTTTTTAATAATTTGTCCTTGGAGGCCTAATTATATGCCTGTCCACCTTGCAAGCCTCATGTCTTCATCGTCTTACCGACTCGAGCGACAGCACCGTCGCCTGACCTTTGTCCTTCTTCAGATTCCCCAGGAAGTGAAAATTTGGGGTAACTTTTTTTTGCGGTACGGCCGCTCCGCGGCACGTGGGATCTTCCCGGACCGGGGCACAAACCCGTGTCCCCTGCATCGGCAGGCAGATTCTCAACCACTGTGCCACCAGGGAAGCCCTGGGGTAACTTATATACCAAGAGTTGCTTTGTATTTTAAGAAAGGAGAAAAATAATATCCTGAAATCGAAACTCAGTATTCAACTTGCAGCTCCCTCTGCCTACAGCCTCAGCTGTCTCCATCCTGTCATTCTGGGAGCATCTCCTGGGAGCTTGTCAAAAGCGCAGACTGTTGGGCCCAACCACAGACCTGCCGCATTTCTCCTGATTCCCTGGCAATTCGGGTATGGTCGCTTTGGGGGAGCACTGGTCCACGTGACATACCACATGACAGGGAGGATAGTGACGTTTTTCAGGACTCTGCATTTTACCAGCCATTCCATATCACGCAGAGATTGCCACCTTCAGTAGCCTCCAGGATTTACTGTTAGAATGTCCATGCTTCGAAATGACTTCTAGTTGGTTAAAGGAGTTTGGAACAGCACAGGCTACAAATAGCTGAAGTTTGAAGGAAAAAATAGGTACATATATACATGTATATTACATTTCTAGTAGGGAAAATTAAATTCTTAGGTCTAAGGGAAACAAAGTAGTAAAAGGTAGGTTATGTTCACCCCTTCTGTCCTGCCTCCCCCTAAATGATTTTATAGGGCACCATTGTCTGCTTTGGGAATGGTGAATCTGTTCCCTCTCTTTCTAGCTTCAAAATCTATGCAAGAAGGCTGGGGCAGCGGCGGGGACGATGCGAACCTCGGTGCCGGTCAGTGGGAAGACGAGGACGGGGGCATGTGGAACAACGCCGCTTCCCAAGAAAGCACCTCCTCCTGCAGTTCCTGGGGGAACGCCCCCAAAAAAGGACTCCAAAAGGTGCGTGTGACACTAAAGGAAATAAACTCTAAAAATCAGTGGTGGTACTTAAAAACATTCAGTTTCAAGGTGGTATCTCCAGGTAACAGTGGCAGAGAGATCTGAGGTTCTCAGAGTGCTCTCAGGACCCTGGTGGTCCTGAGGCCCTCTCGGCGGGTCTCTGCCGAGCGGAGAATGGGGTTTTCCAGAGACTACATGCCATTGCTGTCACAGCAGAGTGAAGGCAGGGACAGGTGGGTGAATCCAGCTGCTTCTGTGAAGTCGGACAGTAGAGAGATGTTCAGTCAGGTACAACAATGCCACTCTTCTCACTAAAACTTTTTGTTTTAGAAAATATAATTATTTTCCATTAAAAAACATTGTTATATTAACATATAACGGCTTTGTTATGGTTATCTTTAAACAAATTAATACAGTTTTTTAAATTTCTCAGTTTTAATTTCTAATACAGTAAATATCAATAAATACAACTCATATAAACAAAACTTCTTTAGGATCCTCGGGGTTTTTTTGATTTTTGGGGTTTTTTTGCGGTACGCGGGCCTCTCACTGTTGTGGCCTCTCCCGTTGCGGAGCACAGGCTCCGGACGCGCAGGCCCAGCGGCCATGGCTCACAGGCCCAGCCGCTCTGCGGCATGTGGGATCTTCCCGGACCGGGGCACGAACCCGTGTCCCCTGCCTTGGCAGGCAGACTCTCAACCACTGCGCCACCAGGGAAGCCCAGGATCCTCGGTTTTTAAGAGAGGTAATGGGGTCCTGGGAGCAGGAAGTGTGAGCACTCCCCAGGGACTCAGTTCTCTGCACCCAGATGCACAGCCTCCAGAAGAAATCAAGTGAGGTCCACAGCACAGATGCGCTTCAAGACAGCTTCCAAGTAGATCACAAATTCAAATATGAAAGAGAAAAATGTAAGAGAGTTTTAAAAACTATCTCGGTGAGGAAGAGGCCTTTCTAACTATGACCAAAATCTAAAAGCCATGGAATGAAAGGTTTATAAACTTCAGTAAACATAAAAACTATACCTGATAGAAAATTTCATCCTCAAAGTCAAAAGACAAATAACAAACTGGAAAAAAATATTTGTAAGTCATAGAGAAGACTGACCTTCCTGATAAATAGAGAAAGATCCTAGAAACTGTTTTTTTTTTAAAAAAAAACAACCCACCGGTAATCCAGTAGACATATAGCGAAGAATGTAAGCAGGCGATCCATGGAAAAGGAACACAAGTCATTGTTAAACGTGTGAAAGGATATTCAACCTGACTTGCAGAAAGAGAATTCAATTTAAAACAACATGAAGAAATGCCATTTTTCATCTCTCAGCCCAGCAGAGAGATGCCAAAACGTGCTGTCTTCGCAAAGCTGTAGGAAAACCAGCACTCTCATACATTGCTGGTGGAAATGTAAACTAGTGTAACCCAAATGGAGGGCAGTGTGGCGTCATCTGTCAAAATTACAGATGCGTCAGCACTTTGACACAGACCTTCTACTTGTCAAGGGACAGCAAAAAAATAGTAACTTAAATGCACATTGATGGGGTAACTAGTTAAATTATGCTACATCCGTATTATGAAAAACTAAAGTTTTTTTTAAAGAAACTAAACATTGATATGAAAAGATCAACGAAATATATTGCTAAGTGAAAGGCAAGATACAGAGAATCTGTATAGCACAACCCTGCTTTTGGGGGGCAAGGGGAAGAGGAGAAAATGGGTGTGTGAGTGTGAGGCACACACATACTCGTAATGGCCTCTGTTGAATTTAAAATTCTCTGGAAGGATGTGTAAGGAGAGAAGAGCTCAGCGGATGGGTCATGGGGCGGGAAGAAGATGCTTCCATTTGCCCCTTTTTTCTGCTTTTGAATCATGTGAATGTATTATCTGTTCATAAATTTTTCAATTTGAAAACCATTCGATTAGCAGTAAGCAGAACCCAGAAACTAAAACCACGGCTTTTTGTTCATAAAGAGTAGAAATGATTGCAGGCTTCAAATTAAATCTTTTCACGATCAGGCTGGCAAATAGTCCTGTTAATGATGGGACCAGAAACACCAAATTGATCAGTTAAAATATTGTATATTCTTGGCAAACCTGGCTCTGGCCACAGAGTAATGATTAAAATCACCTCTAGAGAAGCCACTTCCTTGAGGAAAGTGAGCCTGTTAGTTTAGTCACCCCACATGCTCCGTTCTGTAATTGTGGCAGGCTCAGTTTTGAAAGCACTGTGAAGAGTACTTTGTGTATGGTAGTAACGCATTGTTAGATCCCCCTCGTTGCCGAAGAGCAGGAGATTCTTGAGGGGTCACATCTTGACGCTCAGCCCTTCCGCGGTGCCCTGCTGCCCCCTCTCCGTCTCGCTGCCCTTTCCTTTCCACTGGACTCCCTCCTTTTGTCTTCATCCTCTCCCTCACCGCCATTTCCCCACTTATTTTTTTTCTCCACCCTACAGGCCATAAGCGATGAATAATTAACAAAATTAATAGGTTTTTTTTGATCCCTTTCATCTTGTCTTTTCTGTTGGAATGAACACCCTATATTTTGTCATCTTTTAGAATAAAGCTTATAAAAGGGCAAAAGCCATGTAATTTTTAGTAAACTTTATATGGTTATTATAGGGTCGTGTTCAAGGGAGCACTTATTATGATTATTTGATAATGGAAGCGGTACCTATTTGTGATGAACTAAATTCATTCTCTGGAGAAAAGAAATAATTATCTTGCTTTTTTAAGTCCATAAATTGCACACATATGCCAACCTCAGAAGCACCCTGAAGCATTTCATAGCACGAGCCGCCAAATACTGTCGGGGCGATGTGGAACACAGCATTGCTCAGCGGTAACAGAGAGAGACACTGTGACATGTAAATCAACATGAATTTTAGGCATCTCCCATTTCTGGAAGAAATGCATTAAAGCATGGCTCATGGACTTTCTCCTTCCCACACTTGGTTCTAGGGCATGAAAACATCTGGCAAGCAGGACGAGGCCTGGATCATGACCCGGCTGATCAAACAACTCACAGACATGGGCTTCCCGGTGACTGGCGTCTTACTTTACTCCTCCCGCCATGTGTCCTGCCCTGCATGGCCCTGTTGTGTCCTGCCCACCTTTGTCATGTGTAACACGGAAGGAAGACTTGGGGGATGAGATTGTTGGCAAAACCTAACTCGTAAATCCCCCTTTCACCCGGGCACTTCTGCTTAGGGATCATTGCTCTGAACTACAGCAAAGATCCACATCATTTCTATCAAGAAAGGTGTGAGAACCTTTTCTTAGAATAAAAAATGATGTGTGATTTTTAATTTTCATTGGTTTATACAGTTTTATATTTTCTTTTCATTTATAATTAAAAGTGAGTTTTTATTCGTTTATGCAGTACGTTGACCAAGATCTCAAGAGAAAACTTGGTATAAAGTACTAAACCCTCGTGTCCAGATAAAGAATCCTAACCAGACCTATTTGCTTCCTGAGTTTCATATCGTGTGTAGGGAGAGTTGGAAATCTTAGGGTCTTCTGAAAATGCCTCCCGGTCTCTTCAGTCCCTAAGAGCCAGTGGCAGGAGTTCAGACCATGAGCAGTGCCTCCTGTATCTGCCACGTAGCCCCCTCAATATCTGCCACGTAGCCCCTTCAAATGTCTTCTTTCCAAATCTTTATTCAAATGAGTGTTTACCTTTTGATTGCTGCAGATGTCCCTAAAGGATGGGTCTAGAGTGGCTCCAGACTGGAGCAGGGCACGACATACTTCACGTGGGGTGCAGGCCCCTGACCCTGTGCGGGCGCGGCCAGGGGCCCGGCCTCCCCACGGATGAGGTGATAGGCCCACACTGGCCCTGCCGTGCTTCAGCACCATGCCCAGCTTGGTTTTGGCCTCCAGCGAGACTAGTCTGTTTCAGTCAGAGAGAGAATTATCAAAATGAACCTACGTGTTTTGTGTTATGTTGTTTTTACATTTTTTGGTGAAAAGTAGTTTACAGCAGAGCCTAGAATCTGACTCTTAGCGTGACTTCCTGCAGCTGCCCTGGGAGAGGTTTCACCCTGCTAAACCACAGAGTCAGAAATAAGACTCTCCTGGCACTGGACATTTGGGGTTTAAAGTGTTAAGTACAAGTTCTTCCCTCTAAAAATCAATTCAGTACATTTTCTTATTACAAGTATTTTTTATTTAGAAAACATTTCTCTCTAACCACACAGAAGAAAAGTATTTCTAGTTCTAAAACCTAACAATATTAGGTTAATATCAATCACTTCCCTGAGTTAATAGTGATAGAGCTCTTGACAAGCTTTTCCTTTTGTTAACACGCAGTCCCAGTGAAAACTCTGTTTCCCTCTGCAGAGAGAGCCAGCTGAAGAGGCCTTGAAGAGTAATAATATGAATCTTGACCAGGCCATGAGTAAGTAAGATGACGTACCTAAAGCACACTTTTTTTTAAAGGTACTAGTTTGTGAGTTTTGATGTTCAGAGCCGTGGGTTAATGGTTGAATACGTGCTGGGGAGACAAGACCACCCGCAGGATGTGCACCTGCCACGGGGCCAGTCCCTGAGGACTGGTGGGCACTGGGAACAAATGGCCAAACACCACATTGAACCACGTTTGCTTTTTCTGTTTTTTTTTTGGGGGGGGGGTTCCCATTTTTGTAACAAATAGATGAATTTTTTCTGTCTCCATCTGTTTTGAGTGGGGAGATAGTGACCCTCTTGGAGAAAGGCACTGGGACCACGTGCCCACCTCATTGGGTGCTGAGTGAGCTGTTCTTGTGCCGCACCCGGCAGGGCTTGCTCAGGGCCCCGCAGGAGCATCGCCTGCTGGCTGAGAAGCGAGAGTTACTGTCAAGGAACAAGCAACCCTAGTTCTGGAATTGCTTTAAAAATGATATCAATTATGGTAAATGTTTACGTGTAAAATACAGCTGATTCTTATCGTTCGTGGTACTTACGTCCTGTAAAGTCCCTGCAGACGCTGAATCAGGAAGTACTGAACCCTTGCTCCTCGGGAACATACAGGGTTGAGGTCGTCTGAGCCTCTGGCCACAGCATTTTTGTCAACCAGTCAACACGTAACCTTGTTTTATGTATGTTTCTGTTTAAAGACACCGTATTTAATATGTATTTCTCACAAATAATTATGTGCCATATTTCTTTATAAGAAAGCATTAGCTACGAAGGGTTGAACATCCTCCTGACCCTGGATAATGTGACCATAGATTTTGTTCCCTTTCTGACTCACACCAATGCCGTGAGCTATGCTTTTTTTAAATAAGTCATCATCTTGTGAATCCACAAATTTAGCCACTTTCCATCTTTTCTGAAGCTTCATCTCACACTGTAGACATTACTTTAGCTCCCCCAACACAGCCTTATACGCGATGGTGACATTCTGTCCCTGTTCCGGCTGCACTGCCCTGTTCATCAGCTGAACTCGGCTGCCTGGGCAGCGCTGCTGCAGCAGCTGCTAAACAAAGCAGGCACCACGCAGCCTTCTTGCGCTTAGGACACTAGACAGCACATTGGCTTGGGGACCATGGGGACCACTGCGATGACCAACAAAAAGCACGGAGATAGCCCTAAATACACCACAAAAGGACACCTGTCGCTTTGTGAGAGCCTGATCTGGGAATGTGTGTGTCGGGGGCTCAAATTCTTCACCGCCCCACGCGTCCACAAGTGACCAAAAAGCGCCATAATATTGATTTGGGGGCTACAAGTATATTTTTGGCAAGTAGGTGAATTCACAAGCTCGGAATTCACAAATAATGAGGATCAACTTTATAATCACATGCAAATGCCAAATGGGTGGTATAAGCTGCCAGGACAGAGGGAATCGGTGTGAGCTGGAGGGAGTTAGTCCCCGCTCCTTAGAGCCATGAGGCGGTGCAGAGTCAGAGGGAGTGGAACAAACACCAGTCTCTAAATGGGAAGAGCACAAGGGCAGACTCTGTCTGGTTTGCGTTGTATTGTATTGTATCCCCGACATTCGGACAGGTCCTTACAGCCAATAGGGACTCAGCAGGTGGAAATCAATGGCCATGAGGCGGGGCAGCCAGGGAAGGGCCCTCTTTGGAAAGAGAGGCAACAAGTCCCAGGGGAGAGGAAGGGCCTAGCCCCACAGTGGCAGAGGTGGCCGGCGTGGCTGCGAGGGATGAGGAGCAAGGGGCCAGACCACAGACTCCCGGGCCCGGCCAGAGCCAAACTGAGGCCCCTGTTTTCTGGGAGTGAGCGTCTTAACTCCTTCCCTGCGGGGTAGGCTGGTGCCCGTCAGTGCTCAGAACTCGCAGCCGACCCCCGAGGCATCTCGTTTCAAGCGCTGCTTCTGTCTGCTTTGCCCCAGGCGCTCTGCTGGAAAAGAAGGTGGACGTGGACAAGCGTGGACTGGGAGTGACCGACTACAATGGGATGGTCACCAAGCCCCTTGGCTGCCGCCCACCGATCTCCAAAGAGTCTTCCGCGGACCGCCCCACCTTCCTGGACAAGGTATGAGTTTAGGTGGCTTTTTGTTTGTTTTTAACAAGAGGTGTTTTTCGTTTTCACTGTGTTGGATTAAAAAGTTATTGGGCTATATTTAAGTGCCTTTTACCCATTTTTCTAATATATGTGAATGTTTAACTCAAAAGAGGTTGTGTTGTATTTCATATGGTGGGACTAGGAATAAAAATACTGAAATTGAAAACTGATTTTCATGTTAGCGCGTGAACTTGGCTGCTTCAATTTGTCCAGTAGACAAGGGTCCGTCAATTTCTGTTTTACGGTCTTACTTTATATGCACAGTTCTTCCCGCTGGAAATGATGTATTACATGTCTAATCTCAGGAGGAAGGGTCTAGAAGTGGTTAGGCCTGGGCACCCATGTCTCCTGGCCCTTGCTTGGATGGGCTACTTCAGAGAGCATGCAGGGGCCTGTGGGAAAATCCCCTTAGATGTTTTAACAAGTGTAGCCGCCAGTTCATTCCCCTTAGTATTGTCATGCTTGGTGCTCCCTCTCCAGATTGGTGTGACCTCAGAGGAGGGAAACAGCATCCCGTTAAACTCAATCAAAATGTTCATCCTTGGGAAAAAAAATGGAAGCAAAAAAGGACAAGTTTAAAGCAAACAAATAGACTAAAAGCAAGCCCATAGGAGAAGAGCTGAGAGTTCGTCTGTTCTCAGATTGCCAGCACTCCATACAGTGGAGCCCTCGCCTTGCCCGGCACCACTGTGCCCAGAGAAATTGGAATTTCAGACAACAATGAATCGTTTCTGGACCATATTTATTCTCAGATATTAGTAGTAGTTTATTTGAAATTCCAGTTTAACTCCACACCCTGTATTTTTATTTGCTAACTGGGACCCTGACTTATTTCCGTATCTTTAAAATGTGAAATAATACTGCAGGTTTGGGGACTGCCCTAGTGGTCCAGTGGTGAAAACTCTGCACTTCCATTGCAGGGGGCACGAGTTTGCTCCCTGGTCAGGGAACTAAGATCCTGTATGCCGCATGGCATGGCAATCAATCAATCAGTAAATAAATACTGCAGGTTTGTTGTGAAGTTAGACGAGATAAATTTACAAAGGACCTGGCACCCAATAAATGTAAAAAAAAAAAATAACAAGATTTTTGTCTGTTTTATAATTTACCTTATTATTAGGTTAAACCATATGAAATCGCTGTTTGTAGGTCAAAAACATTTGAATGTCAGCAGATTTCAACCTAATGTATACCTAGAGCCTTGCTAATAATTTCTCAAAAGGAGCCTGTTTATTTGAAAATGGTTGTAAAGTGTTTTCCAAGTAATACTTTTTACAGTGTTTGTCGCTCTTCTGATTCCTACCCGTAGGCAGGGTCAGTAGTGATGAGAATATTATAAGCTGATATGTGTTTGTAAAATAATTGTTAAAATGAAAACAGCATCTTAATCCTGTTTCTCTTTTTTCTTTTTCCCCTCTTCCTTTTGACCATATCTCCATTTTCCTGTCCACACATTTTTGATCTTTTAATTCTTTGCTCATCCGCATCCCTTTCTGTGTCCCGGGAAACTTGTGCTTTGTGTGTGGACGGGCACTGCACACAGCTCACGCTTTCTTTCCCCAATCAGGATGGCGGCCTCGTGGAAGAGCCCACGACTTCACCATTTTTGCCTTCACCAAGCCTGAAGCTCCCCCTTTCCAACAGTGCACTCCCTAATCAGGCCCTGGGCGGGATTGCCTCAGGGCTGGGCATGCAAAACTTGAATTCTTCTAGACAGGTAAGGCTATTGGTAGAGGGCCACCATGGTCTCTCTCACTTGCCTTTAAGAAAGTGTGTTTGACACGCAAACCTTCTTATTATTAATTAATGCCTGCATTTGAAAATATAACTGAATATGTAAAGGAAGCTGAAATATTATAAGGATTTCCTTCCAAGTGATGTACTGCTGTCAGGAATTGAATCCAGTTCTTGAAATTTAACCATGTTATAGGAAATGCTTCAAAATTTATATTTATTTTTACATGTAACTAAAACACCCTTGGTACTAAAGTACTGCTAGTGAAATGACATGGGCCGCAGAGCCGTCTTCACCTGCCCGATGCGTTCACAGGTCCAGGCAGTGCCGTCCTGTCTCTCCTGACAGTTGAAACCTTAAATGCATTGATCTGCAGGAAAACACCATACTCTCCCCTTTTTCCCAGAAACAGAGGTGACATCTCTTGCAGGTTCTCAGTGGTTTTCAGAGAGTGATGTTGGCACTGTTCCCTGCCTTTGACACTCTTGGGGGAGGTAAAAGTCACCCTCAGACGTCCCTGAACGGAGGGACCTGGGGTTTTGATCGACGGCTGCTTCGTGTCACTTCTCTCCCCTGGAATGAAATGATACGA